CCCGCGGGCAGCGGACAGGGTTATCCGCTGCCCACGCGCTCCGCGGCTTGGCTCTGCTTTGCCCCCCCGTCTCCCTGGTCTGCAGTTTCAGCAGCGGCTGAATCTGGACGCCAGTTCCGACTTACATACAGATTCAACTTAAGAACAAACCTACAGTCCCTATCTTGTACGTAACCCGGGGACTGCCTGTACATGCGGAATAATTTTATGTGCACTGTACATGAGCAAATGTGTATCACCAGTAGAAACAAAACACATAGCTGTTGGTACTCTGCTAATCAGCTGCGTGGCATCTGAATCTCTCCTCAGTGAGCACACAAGTACACAACTTACAAGGAATACTGGTCTCAGGACCCTTTAGCCTGCATCAGAACTGAAGCAGAGAATCAAGGACCAGCAGCCAATTACTTGATAGCTGTTCCACTGAAAACTAGCAAAACCAAAAATATTCCCCTTAGTGTGAATTGGGAGCAGGGCATATAGGATGGCAGAAGGAGGGAAGGGAAGGCAATTTTGTTTCCTCTGAGGAAGTGATGGTTGCTTCTCACCTTTTCTTCTCATTCCAGAAGATGACAATTGCCCAGCAAGGTTCCCCCCCCCCCTTCTTTTAAAAAAGGCTGGCATGAGGGAGTAGCAATAGAATCTGCTCCCAGAACTAAGAATATACACAAAACTAACTGGGGCCTTTAGTGCTAAATTAAACAAAATGAATAGTAACAGTAACATGGGAATGCTTGTATGTGTTTTTAAAACTGTCAAATTGCTACAATCTATAGCTAGCCAGTTTGTGCATTTCTCCCAAGTTTCATATATGCAACTAACAAACTTACATTGTTAGCAAAATTCACTCTTTGCAGAATGTTCCTGACATCCTAGCCCCTCCTAAGCTGAAGAGCTGCCAGCAATTAGGAGCCAATAGACTGCTGTGTAATGGGCTTGCATCCCCATGAGAAAGTGGTGGTAATATATAGTTCCTGATCGACCGAATGATCTAATTAAAATGAGGTCACGAGTCCTTCATTTTCAGGATGGGAGGAGATGAACGCTAATTTCAGGTGGAAAGCAGTATTGGTTAGAAGAGCCTAAGTCAGCGATAGGCAACCTAGGCTAGTGAGTGGGCCACATGACTGGCTGTGCTTCATCTCAATGATCTGCAAGGCTGATGTAACCAAAATGATAGGGTATTTTTGCCACCTGCACTTGCCTACTTAGACTTTGGGGGATGTGCCAACTGAACCATAGCAGAGGTATGATCAGATACAGAGGGAGCACACAGCTTTTAGAGTCAGTGTCATGTGCAATGAGCAGAGCTCGACAAATCACTCAATCTATTCGCCTGTGGCAAGTAGATTTCAGCCAGTCGCCCCATTC